GCTTAATATAATAGATATATGTACCAAAAGGACCCGACAATATTTAGTTTGGTTTTTTTTTTTTTGGTTTCAAAGAGGAAAACATACTGTTTTTGATCTGTTTCTTCTCCTTTGGTTCCAAACAAATAAGGTTAATGACCTGGACCAGACGGCTGTCACTATGGTAACCGGTACTGTAGCAGACAGCCTGTGGTGTTGGGTTACATTATGTAGCAAGTGGCAGGACAGAGTTGGAGGGGCTGGTCACCGGATATATATGAAATCCATGTGTTTGAGTAAGAATCAACAGAGCAGTAGTTTTTAGGCTAGACCAACTGAAAATAAAATATTATGTACTTGCTTTGCAAATGTTATCTTCCTAGTGGATATCTGTATACTTGGCACAAAGCGACGTCGTCAGAAGAGGGAATATTAGTATCGATCGCGGCCCGTCTGTTTGCCTGATGTACGACTCTATCGGAACAATGTGAGCTGCTCGCTTGTGCAGTGTACTGCTAGGGTCATGCCGAGGACACTTAAACTGTCTACTGGGTTTACACAACTTTTTTGATGGTTTTGTACTGTATTGTACTGCTTGGGAGGGCATTATAGCTCTCTAGCGAATTTGTGTTATTATCGTTTAAATTATGTAATTTTTAAATCACTAGTATTGTTTAACGTATAATTTTATGAACTGTAAAAACAACTCAATTCAGAGTCTCTTCTGCTAGTTGTTTGAATAAAGATTGATTGATTGCACTTGCAAAGGTGTTTATACACCTGTTTGCCCCCCCCCCCCAAATTCATTTGTTTTTCATTAGATAAATTCAAATAAGTAGATAGATAAATAACAGTTTTAGAGGAAATATTTTTACTTAATCTGCACAAATCTGCTACCAAGCGTTGTCCATTTATATTCTTCTTGCAGTTTCTTATTTCATGTTTTATTAGCGTTGGCAATTTTATTCTGATTAACAAAAAATGCAAGTGGCTTTCTAGAATAAGTGTGTAACTTGAGTGTAACGCCATATTGTCCTTACTGTTTGTCTAATGTTGATATAAAAAAAGTATGTTCTTCGGTGACAAGTAACAAAACGCCTAGTGCAACAGAAATTCTGAAATACAAGTATACAATAGGAAAAACTATTGCCCTCACCCATTCCTGTGGTTATCAATCCGTTACCTGAATCGCCCTTGGACCAAGAAGGTTCAATAGGCTATTCTTGTATCCATAACTGATGAAACACAGGACCTTTGGTGTGTGCGTTATCTAATATTGATATATCTATATACTATATTTGGACGCTAATACATCTAACCATGCCTGTGGAGTCGTGACCGCCCGTAATTGGTGATTTTGCCTACATTAAAACATTTATGTGAAACGGATATCGGATATGATTTTACACGCCGGTCATTTATAGGAACGTTAATGCACGGGTTGAGAGGGGTATGTGGACATTTATACCATAATAGTCTTCCAAATAACCTTCTGACGTCATGGTGTCCATTTCAGTCCAGACCTAACCAGTTCTAGTGCTGGAAGCCGGCTTTACGGGGAATGTGTGTTTTATGTGTTAGGCCACATCTCCTTAATTTTATGGATGACGTCCGCGCGCGCATTGATTTTCGCCTGTTCTCCAAAAAAGAAAATATCACGTCTACCGAGGTTCTGGCCTGGCTCTAGGCCTGGGTAGTACATGGTAGTTAGCGACAATACGGAGCCGGTGGTAACTCTGGAGGACGGCACCCAGGCTACTGAAGCTTCACGACTCAAGAACACAGTACATACGTGCAGTGCCGATTTATAAATTCCGCAAAAAGCCAGCATGTGCCGGCTTGTCATATACGTCGCTATGTACTGCCACAAGTTCACATGCAATACCAGCTTGGTATTCCTTTGTAGCGTGGCCGGACTTTTTTTTATGTCGCCCGCGCGCACTAGTTTGGGGGTCTGTAACGGCCTTCAAAAACCCATTGTAATTATATTGTATTTGTACTGCTGTATGGCTATTATGTGCTATGTACTGTGTTGTTATCATTATCATTGTATTGTTTCTGCATTTTTATTGTACCCAGATCTACCTGAAAAACAGGTCAAATGACCTGAGTGTATCTTCTGGTTAAATAAATAAACTGAAACTGAAACTGGTCTTCAGAGGATGTCATCCATAACATTAAGTCGGTGTGGCCTTAAAGCGGGAAATGTGTGTTTTATGTGTTAGAGCGCCGTCAGCAAGGAGCAGCGCTAATGAGAACCCATTACACCTGTCCCGGGAACTCAGAACTGCCGGGAGTCTCAGTCAGTAATGGGGGCTGGCGGGGATGTATTTGGCGGAAGGATGCTGCGCCCAGAACCGTGCTTTGTACGGCACTATGCTCAGGCACAGTTCTGGATAGTCCAGAACCGTATCTAGAGCAAATCTACGTTTTTGGATACGCGGAGTCTGTCCAGAACCGTGGTTTATACGGTTTCTGGATAGTCCACCTGAATCCAGAATCGTGCCCGGGGCAAATCTACGTTCATGGATACGCGGAGACTATCCAGAACATTTCGACCGACATGTGACACTGCAAAATATGCATACTACGCCGAACCATCCCTGAGTGGAACAGCCTTTCGGCATACATAGTGGACAGCCCCTCACTGGACTCCTTCATGAGCAGGCTGTCATCCAGACCGTAGTCCAGACGCTGCGCCTCTCCCCATCTGCGTGATGTCCCGACCAGGGAATTTGCAGATTACTGAACTTGACTTGACTATGCCTGATCCTAACCCTGGAACTACATAGGCACGGTTCTGGATAATCCTCGCGTATCTACAGGTAAATCTACCGTCTTGGACTCACGGATACTATCCAGAACCGTGCCTGCCCCTGCCCTAAACATGCACGATTCTGTGTACGATAGGGCAGGTAGAGGTGGCGTGTTCATTAACAGAAAACGTGTCTCATCAGCCGGAGATACCCAGCCAGCCTCCCCATCACCATTATATATCTATTACTGCGCCCGGCGTGCCAACAGTTTTGCACTCGAGCCAAAATCGTTAAAATGGGTTGATTCTATCGACTTCTCTCTCCCTGAACGCGCTGGAACTTAAATCGCGTGTCAGAGAGTCATCTGTCACTGCGTACTTGCTGTCCGTACATCTAGTTCAGTGTTTTACCGAAGCAATTTTGAAGGCAGATAAGATAGTGAAAATAACGTTCATACGAATGGAGCACCCTTATTTTGGTCAGAAAGCAAAGCAAATACATAATCTTTACCTTCACACGGCCTAGTCTAACAAACTATTGCTTCGTTTATTCTTACTCAAACACATTCATAGGTATGGGGACCAGCCCCTCCAACTCTGTCCTGCCACTTGCTACATAATGTTGTCCAACATCAAAGGGTGCCTGCTACATCACCAGTTACCATGGTGACAGCCATCTGGTCCAGGTCGTTGACCTTATATATTATTTGAATAATTATGATATAGATATGTTAGGTTTTATTCGACAGTAGGTCTTATTCAACACACTTATTTTATTGTTGTTACTCTAGTAGTCTGCCATACATTGTACCATGTGCAATTGTCGTGCAATAAAGTTCTTATATTTGTTTGGAACGCAAGAAGAAGTGACAGAGCAAAAATAATATGTTTCCCTAATCGAAGGGAAACATGAAAACTTAAGTGCGAGGGCAAAACTTTCTAAGCAGCAGCGCGCGCGAGGGAGTTTTTGAGCCACCGTCCTTGCAGGCCATATACGTTATCATTTGGTACGACTGCGAGATTGCCTGCGGTGTGTGCAGCTGGCAGGGGTCCCAGTTTGAGAACTGATTTGCAGCTTTGACCCAAGTATGCAAACGGAGAAAAACGCCAGAAAAGATATTATTTTTCTATTCTAAGCATTAGCACGCGAAGGCCGTTCTTGTGAGCCATCAGTCTGACTGTAAAATTGTGGTATGTACAGCAGGTACTAAGACTCCCAGCTTGAGAACATGGTTTGCGTTGACCCTGGCAAACACATGGAGAAAAACGCCGGCAGAGATAAGTTTTTCTATTCTAAGCATCAGCGCGCAAAGGAAGATTTGGGCCGCCGTTCTTGCGTTATCAGTCTGACTGCAAGATTGTGGTGTGTGTTGCTTTTGAATTGAAGCTAAGAGAACTGTTGATAAAAGCCAGTGGGAGAACTTTTATTTTCTATTCTAAGCAGTAACTCGCGCGAAGGAGGATTTGGGCCGCCGTTCTTGCGGCAATAGTAGCCGTTATCAGCCGGCACCATCTGTAAAGCATTGATCCTCTCCGGGCGGGCAGACGGACGGGTTGGCACGGATGTACTGTAGCGTTGAACGTGGGGCCGAGTTAACGGACTGTGAATGTTAATCTGCCGTGATTAATGGGACGTCAGCCCGGCTGAATGGTCCGGACTGGCTGCTGACAGTCACGAGGTGCTGGGCTATCTGGGAACCACAGGGGGCCGCAGACAGGTAGCCTCCACATAGCGTTTACAATAGTTACTGGTAACGGCGGTCACCGTTAGTCAGTAATTACTGGGCTGGGAACCGCCGTTGAGGGGCCGCAGATAGGTAGCCTCCACATAGCGTTTACAGCAGTTACTGGATAACGGTGTTCACAGTTAGTCAATAATTACTGGGCTGGGAACCGCGGGGGCCTCACACAGGCACTTCACAACGGGCACAACTTCAAGTTTCCAACAATGTTTGAAATGGAATTAGCAGTATTAGTCAAGTAGAGTGGATTCACTCCTCATGCTAACCCACACTTTTTCATTCCTCAATTCATCAAGCTGACCGACACCTGTCATATTTCGGTTAGCTTGAGGAATGAATCCACTCTACTTTTAACTGGCCAGGGGAGTATGGAGATCGTAGAGTTCATTTGCGCACGGTCGCGCAGTTGTAGGTGGAATGAAACCCTACTCCCCTGAGCAATTAGACTATATTTTTTCAAGCCACACTCCTCTGCCCTTTGATTGCGTTTGATTATGTTTTTTTCTCCTATTGTCCCTCTGCAGGGTGCCTAGCATCTCCGTACTGGACTGCACCGCCCTGGACATCCGATCGGACCTACCGGACAGCCATGCTGCAGGGCACAGGTCGCCGCATGAAGGCGCTGCGGACAGCCATGCTGCAGGGCACAGATCGCCGCACGAGGGCGCTGCTGACGGCCATGCTGCAGGGCACATATCGCCGTCTGGAGGCGCTGTTGACAGCCGTGCTGCAGGGCACAGATCGCAGCATGAGGGCGCTGCTGACAGCCGTGCTGCAGGGCACAGATCGTCGCATGATGGCGCTGCAGCACAGACAGCTGAATCGCTTCCTACTCGCCGAGAAACATCGCTGTCGGTTGTCTCCTCCCCAGGTAGATTCCAGGAAACGCCATTGTCCGCTGGCCAATCCCCTGGTAGATTCCAGGAAACGTCTCTATCCGCTGGCCAATCAGCAAGCAGATTCCAAGAAACCTCCTTGTCCCCAGGCGGATTCCAAGAAACGTCCCTGTCGTCTGGCCCCTCCCCGGGTAGATTCCAGGAAACGTCCCTGTCCATTGGCCCCTCCCCAGGCAGATTCCAAGAAACCTCCTTGTCCCCAGGCAGATTCCAGGAAACGTCCCTAACGGAACAAGAACCGCCGCCGAAATACGAGGACGTGATCCTGACGTAGACTGCTGTCTGACTGACACAAAGTTTGAGCTGTAATTTCCAAGGAACTCACACACACACAAAAAAAATGTGACTTAACCAAATTTTCGACCTACCAACTCCAGACTTTGCCAAGAGGTGATGAGCAATCCACCGCGTCTGTAATGCCGATAGAACAGGTGACTCAGTGAGTAGTGGATCATAACAAGGAGGTTTGAACCTTCTGGATAATAAGCAGCAGAGAGTTTGCTGTCTGACTGTTTGAGATCCCATGCCTGGGATGTGACAGACGCCCTCTAGCGGCGAGGAGAAGAGTTACTTGTGGTTGGATTTCTCAGACTTCAACCAGTCCAACGACTTTCATCACGTAGATTTGAATGATACGCTATGTTATCAGTCTTTTTTTTTGCATCCTTTCTGTTCAGTAACTTCAGGACATTTGTGTTTGCTTTTAGATGGGAAGAGCGAGGCTTGAACAGCAACATCACCTTGGCCCTTAAACCGCGACTAGAACCATTTAGGTAAGTCGGTATGTATGTTGCCACTGGACTTACTGATATACTGACAGACTATGTAGACTCATCATACTCCTGCGAACGGCTAATAACCGTTGCCATGAATTGGGCAAAATCGGTCGTGTGACAGGCTGAATAAAAAAAGTTTCTAAACGGGAACTATGCGGCTCCAGATGTCTTACTGAGGGACGACTGCGTGCGCAAGATGTCGGTTAGCTTGAGGAATGAATCCCCTCGAATTTTAACCGTTGCCATGGACTGGGGTTATGAAGGAATGGTGACTGCCAAAGAGCAGAGCTTACACCAGTTACAGATGTGCCCTGTGTGGCAGAGACTGGCATTCTCGTATAGGCTGTAGGACTTATATCAATTAGGACTTTACCATGGCCAATAAAAACTGAAGGAAGCATATGATACACGCTGGTGACTGTGATATAAACCATGTAAGAATATTGGACGGAATCAGGTTTAAAACCGAAGTGCTGCCATATACTGGATGCGGAAAGTCATTAAAAATCAGAACGTGTTTGTCCTAGTTGATTGCATCTAATCGCAGGACGGAGGCCTTGCCGGATGTCTGCCTTACGGAAGATAAGGACACTGAAGACGTGCCTTTTGTCTGAGAGATCAGAAGACGCCAGAATGTGCTGAGTCAAGATATTTCCCGAGACGCAGGAGTGTTGCCAACAAGCAAGGCGACTTGTTGGGATCCAGAACCATGCCTATCTACGTCTGTGCCTGGATGGGTTAGGGTTAGGATTATGCATGGTTCTGGATAGTCTCTATTGTATCCAGAACCGTGCCTGATCCTAACCCTAACCCATTCAGGCATAGAACTCTGAGATAGGCACAGCTGCAGGAGACAACAAGACTTCTCTGCAAGCCAGAGGACCCGATGACACCCATGCCTTAATTGGAAACCTCCGAGTCCAACGGGGCCTCCTTACGTCCATACTTTATTGACAGACCTGTTCAGTGCCGCCATGCGAACCTATAGGGACATCGGAACACACTGTAACAAGTTACCAGCACAGCAGGCGATGTCAGGAGGGTTTAAATCTTCTTTTAAAATCGATACCGAAACAGCCGCATGCCTTTGGAACCGTCCCAGAGGCTGGCTGGACGATGTGACCGGCATGATAATAACTGCTGCATCCACAGGTGTTTCCTTTTCCACAAGATGCTGCCACGTCTCGTGAATGGCAATAGGGATAGACAACGATAATTCAAACTCTACCACTGGATAAGTTACGAGTGACATATTAATCTCCAAGCAGATCCTACGGTGGCCAGGCAGTATCCATTGGCCAGAGGAGTGTCCATTAGCCACCAAAGAGGCCAATGGATACTGTCTGGCTAATGGATACTGCCTGGCCAATTTGATACTGTCTTTTGCGGCCACCGAAAGATTTGCTTGGAGACTTTTCTTTAGCGTCATTGATTTTAGTGACGCTGAATTTTGCGACACTGAAGAAGAGTGGTGGATGTCACTCTAAACGTTTGGAAGAAATCTCCGTTATTTATCTAGTAGTAGAGTTTGAATTGTCAATGAATACCGTTTACCTGGATGTCCAACCTTCAAGAACGTGGGACTAGGAGTATATTCTGGTCCAACGCCATAGACTACATATCATGTACATAACACATATGGGAGATTATAGCTAGGATATACATCAGTGTATTTATAGCATGGTAATATGTCACAGTTTACTGACAGCCGTATCGCGGTACCTTTAAAAAAGAATAGACTGTTGCAGCATTGCCCGGTGTACAGTTCTATTGTCGTTATGGCGGGCTCTTTTCGGGGCTCGTGTAAAATAAAACTCCTACCGGGGAGCCTACTTGAGCTGGGCGGTGGGTAGCTACCACAGCCCCCGAAGAGAGCCCACCCAAAACTCGGTTCACTGGACACCAGGCTAGTCACAGTATTGTATTGGAACAAAGACTATAACTTAACCCTTATACAAAACCTTGTTGAACTCCTATACCCAAGTGCACATCAGACACAAAAGAAACACTGAAATAATCTATAAGGTACGTATTGACTATTGTATGTCTGCAGACGATAATATAGTTTGTTAAACGCTGTTCCTATAATTCAAACAGAAATCGACCGTAACGGTAAAACGTCGCTGTAACGTATCGACTGTTTTAACGGAAGGCCTCTGGGCAGCTACGATGTACATAGTGGGACCCCCACCCCCACCCCCTCCTGTCGATAGTGCTAAAATAACGCTTGTTTCGCCCCAGGTTTGCCAAATATTAATTCGCATTGCTCCAGCCTTGAACCCTTCAACTTAAGAATATCTGTATGAATACCTGCAAATAAATTGAAAATAATGACACAGTAGTATTGTATGAATAGCAATGTTGTAGTCACGATCTGGTCAATTTTTAATGCTTGTTATGAATAACATGTATGTACATGGATTGCCGCAGAAGCACTGTCCGGACAACAAATTCTCATATATCATTGACAAACAAATCTTTAGTTTTCCATCTTAAAACAGGTATACTTTATCATCGTACAAAACAAGACGTGGTCATCATTCATATGTATATAATACGTACAGGACCATTCTGCATAGTCTGGGTAATAGAAGCCCCCTGGGTATTAGGGGATCCCGTGGGTGGGGGTACTGCTTCCCGGGGGTCTGCAGTGTTACCGTCAGAACCTCCCGGGGGTGCCGTCTCCAACTGTTGGGCCTCTCCCGTGGGTTGGGGTGCTACGCCCCGAGGGTCGGGGTTACCTTCAGACTCCCCCGAGGGTGCCGTGTCCTCCTGTGAGTCCTCTTCCCGGGGGTGATCAGACTCCGCCGTGGGTGTGCCCTCCTCTTCCCGGGGGGTGGGGTCGGGGAGCACGAACCCCTCCCTGGCGGCGATCTCGCGTACCTGGTGACATGTACAAAATTACTGATACACTGGTGGACGTACCAACTACTCAGAAAAGAATAAGAAATAGGCATGCCTTCAAGTACAATGTACCAGAGTTATCAACTAAGGATTGATGCGTTCAAGAATTCATTCTTTCCTAGAACTATCGCAGAGTGGAACTCGCTGTCACCAAGTACAGTAGGGGCATTGTTATGGGCTACGCCGAAGGGCGGTTATACCGGCTATACAGATACAGAAGCTAGTGTGTTACGCCGAAGGGCAATTATACCGGCTATACAGATACAGAAGCTGGTGTGTTACGCCGAAGGGCAATTATACCGGCTATACAGATACAGAAGCTGGTGTGTTACGCCGAAGGGCAATTATACCGGCTATACAGATATAGGCACAGATACAGGTACATGTTTACATACAGATATCAGATACAGCTAGAGATACCTCCGGCGGTAGTGTGTCCCAGAACTGCTGCAGCTCCTGGTACTCCAGCTCCGAGGCCTGTATAACCTCCTCCAGCGGGATCTCTTCCCATCGGTCCTCCTGGTCTCCCGTTGGCACGTCGTAAGAACCGCGCCTGCAGGTTGGATAAGATTAGAAACATCAGGGATCATCACCCATCTCTCAACCGCGACGACGGCCGACATCGTTTGCCAGATACCTTTGATACAGTGTTCTACCCAGGGAATGATCTAGGTGAGTTCTTCCCACCGGTCCTCCTGGTCTCCTGTGGGCACGTCGTAAGGTTTGGTTAGATGTATAAGATTAAAACAAAATTGGAACAGAAGTGTTAACTCTAATCAGGTACTCCAGATCCGAGGCTTGTATCACCTCCTGCAGCCGGACTTCCCACCGGCCCTCCTGGTCTCCTGTAGGCACGTCGTAAGACCCGCGCCTGTAGGTTGGATTTCATGGATAAGATTAAAAAAACATCAAGGCCCATCACCCATCACTCAACCGCGACGGGGGCCGACATCGAAAGCTCTAGCTGAGTCCTCCTGGTTCTTCCCAACGGTCCCTCTGGTCTCCCGTAAGAACCGCGCCTGGAGGTTGAATTTTTTCTTTTTTTTTTACAAAGCAAATGCATAATGTTTACCTTCGCATATGGTCTTCGCATATGGTCTGTAACCAAACACTAGTTACCATGGTGACAGACGGCTGGTTCAGGTCATTGAGATCATTGTTTGGGAAAGAAGAAGAGGAAACGTAGCAAAAACAGTGTGTTTCCCTTTGGTAAGAACCGCGCCTCGAGGTTGAATTTTTTCTTTTTTTACGAAGCAAATGCATAATGTTTACCTTCACATATGGTCTGCTCTCTTAATTCTTACTCAAACACATTCATATGTATGGTCAAACAGGAGTCTAAATCCCTGCTACTATAAAATTGCAACATGATTTAACCCAACACTAGTTACCATGGTGACAGACGGCTGGTTCAGATCATTGAGATCATTGTTTTGGGAAGAAGAAGAAGAGGAAACGTAGCAAAAACAATATGTTTTCCTTCAGTAAACATAATAATGCCGTATTCCGATGACAGACAGCTGAGAATGGATTGATCTTTTTGTGTTTTGAACAGAAGAAGAGGAAACAGACCAAAAACAATATGTTTTTCTTC